GTGAGAGGGGAATAAGATTAAGGGTCCCTGGTGGGGGTCCTTCCTGATACCCCTTACATGTATCGTGCTGTAGTAGTCCATATGCACGTACGGCCCTGAAGTAGGTGCCAATGAGTAGTCCAAACAAGCTGCCATTCAGCAAAAACCTTCGCGTCAAACATTCCTGGCAGCATGGCCCTGCAAACCTGGTACTATAGTAGGGGTCGGAACAAATACTAATCGCATTCCCTTATGGTCCCTTTATACTTTTACTATACTACCCCCCAAAAAACCCCATTCAAATTGCTAAGGCTCCTATAGTACTGCTTCACTCAGAAGCAAGCGCCCGCCATTTTGTCCGGTTGCCTGAAGCCTGTTCGCGTGAAACAACGGTCTTCCTTCGACCCCTTCAACCCCATGTGGGGATTGAAGTAGCCGGAGCCTTGGTAAGAGCCTGTGTGTCTAGAATCCGACGGGACCCCAGGTCAATGTTGGGGGTATTTTGGGGTTCTACTACCCCAAAATGGTTGGTTGGTTTTTCTATCCTACTACAGAAACACCAAAGGCGACTCCTTGGGCCCAACTTACGGCCAAAGACCCTGCACAACGGAAAGCTGGGCGTTGGCAAGCTGAAACCGGCAAGAAGCACCCTTTTAGGCCTTACGGGCTTAGGGTTTTAGGGTTTAGGGTTTCAATGATTGGTGAGCTGCAGTGTGCGTTGTAGTCGAGATGTCAGGGCTTGAGGGTTTTGCCTTCAGGTGTGCTCGCATTTCTTCTTGCCAGAGTTCGGCTTGTTTCATCGAAATCTGCACTTCGACTTATGGCACATGACCTCAGGAAAGCGGCGGCCTTGGTCTCCCTCCGAACCGTATACTCCCCTTAGAACCTTAAAAAATAATATGCTCTTGGGTTTTATATGAACAAAAATAAACCAAGGGGGATGTAGAACCTGGAAGCTCATGGACTTGCCTAGGAAGTCTGTACTGAAATGCCGCCCCAGACTTTCCAACAGAATGGCAAACCCCAACCGTGATTCCGGCCAACAGAGCCCAACCAAACTGCGACGTCCTTAGTGCCGAAGTGCTGAACCCCTAAGACCTAAACCCTAAATCCTCTAAACCCTCAACCCTAAACCCTAAACCCTAAACCCTGAACCCTAAACCCTAAACCCTAAACCCTAAACCCTAAACCCTAAACCCTAAACCCCAAGCCCATGGTCGCCGCCTTCAAAAGTCGACAGAGTGGGAGGATGAGGTGTCACTTCCGTAGCTGCTGCTTGCATCTTCGGCCAGATTCAGCCTGGCTCTCTTGCGGTTCAGAGGCCTGTTGGGGTTTAGGGTTTAGGGGGTTTAGGGTTTAGGGTTTAGGGTTAAGGGCTTTTTCGAGATAAACGAAGCATACGCCATGGTGAGGCATGCTTGCCGAACCGAGGCTGATGGGCATGCTCAGCTTGCATCTGATGGGGTTGTAAGTTGTGCCGAAGCTTGCTCGGCTGGGGCTGGGGCTGGGGCTGGGCCGGGGTTGGGGCTGGGTGGGGGTGGGTCAATGAGAGGCTTTTTGTGACGCAAAACAACCCTAAACCCTAAACCCTAAAACCTTCAGTTTGCTACCGAGGCACCGATCCACAGCCGTCTGCCAGGGCTCCCCCAAGGCCGGCGCTGTACCGCCGGGAGCTGCAGTGTGAGTCAGGGAACTCCATTGTTTACTGGGGTAGGTTTGGGTGCCCTATAAAAAAATATTTTCTATGGCTTTATAAGCCTGATATAGGGGTCAGGGGCAATAGAAAGTAAAAAATGTGTTCAAACCTACCTCCGTTTAGGGATTGGGGGGGGGGAGATTGCAGGGTGCTTGCGGGTTTCGCAGTTTTGGAGGCTCTTGATTTGGGGTTTCAGACTTTAGGTTCATGCTGAAGTCCATTTCATACCCAGGGTTTAGGGTTTAGGGTTTAGGATTTAGGGTTTCCCCCCCCGCCGCTGGCTGGGTCTGAACGGGGGTATGGGAGCCTTTTTCGGGCCTCTTCCGGCTGGGCATTCTGTGCTTGTGGGCCTGAACCTTGCTTGTGCGATTGAAGAGAGCTGGCCGCCCAACATCTCGAAGTACTAGTGCTTAGGATAATTTCCCGAAATGTTTTTAGCAATTAACACCCCCTGTTGTGATTACGACCCAGCTCAAAATTGGATATCAGGCTCTAGACAACCTAACATACTGGAAATCGTTCATGAAACAAACTTTACGGCCCAAATCCCGGCCGAAGAAATGACGATTACCGCCCTTTTTAGTAGCGTGTCAATACTGACACCCCAAGGCAGAAGCAGATTGCCATGTCTGCAAGGTTTAGGGTTTAGGGTTTAGGTCGAAGAGAAAGCGACCCTGCAACAACCAAGGCCATTAGGTCATTCGATGGCGAAGGAAAGTTCTTTCAGGAGCTCTTGGTTTAGGGCTGGGGATGCTCCCCCTTATACTAACAATCCTCAATAGGAAGTATAGTAGGGGGTATTCTAATCCCCATTAAGGACTCTTTGTTTCGGGGGAACATCCCAATTTTGGGCAATTCTATGCTTCGGAGACGTGTGCCTTAGACCTGGAACGGTGCGCTGCGTCTCTGCTAACAGCTGAAGAACCCCACCAGAGGAGGTGTGCCCTAAACAGCCAAAAGCAGCAAAGCTCTCCATGTATCCCTCAACACGTGCTCTCAAACAACCACTGGCATTCACTGCTACATTGAGTATCTCAACCCGAGGGTGGAGAGTTCAGGGTTTAGGGTTTACAGAAATTGTAGAGGACTTGGGCTCAAACTAGCTTGGATCATACGTTTTGACCGAAAGCTTTGATATCGGAGCCTTTGTGGTTTTTGTTCGTTTACCCCTTGGGCCTCCCTGGTTTTTCGGGCATCTTATTGGCTTTTTGGGCTTCCCTCCCCTTCCAAAGGCGCTTTGATTACTTTCCTTCAGCTCGGTTTGCCAGCTGTTTCGACAAGCAACTTGGTGTGTTCGTAATGATATCACATACAATTTCTATTTATTTTGTCTCGAGAGTTTAAAGGGTTTAGGGACCCCAAGCCCCACCTCCCGACTCGTAAAGCCCCTTGATCTGGTTCTCATCCGCAGCAACGGCGAACATCTGGAAATCAGACATCACTCCCCAGGCTTCCTTGGGCGTTGAGGAGTTTTAGGGTCAGGGTTTCGGGATTCGGCTTCAGGGTTTAGGGTTTTTGTTGAGCGTCGACTTGTTGGGTTTAGACAACTTCGCTTAAGTGCCAATCGTTGACAACAAATACAGACTTCGACTCCGCAGCTTCCTATGAGCCTTTCCGACACCCCCCCCCCCCCTCCCCCGCGCACTGACGAAATCAGCTGGGGCCCCGAATTGCTGGAGTTGGGGGGCAACTGTTATGCAAGTCATGCTCCCCAAGCCCTCTTGTGGGCCCGGCAAGCGGTAGGCTCAGTGATACACGATGTGCACCCGCGCGCCGGGCCGCTGGAACCTACCTGAAGACCTGTCAAGCAGCTTGAGGCAAAGTAGCTCGCGTCACCAGCCAATGGCCCATTCAGTGTGGGTCTAGCCGGTCAGATGGAAGCAAAGAGCGACACGCGAAGCGACTTAGACACGCCATGGCCAGGGCCAAGATGGCCAAGTGCCGGCAGCAGCCGGCAGCAGCTGGCAGCTGTCTCTCAGATGAACGTCTGAGGCCAAAAACCCGGAAACTTGCGAGCGCCAAATCAAGCTTTCTGCATGGCTGCAGTGGAAATGCGTAGGCGCAGCTCGAGAGTAAGTTGAGACATCCACTGGCGGCCAGGGAAAGGGGGTGGGTGTTCGCAGGAAGGCACTGGGAACACATGGCTTGCGAAGCAGCACCGGGGGGTGGGTTGAAAGAAAAGAAAGACAGAGGTGGAGGGTAAGAGGGAGCTGCGGGTGGAGGAGCAGGAGAGCGGGGGAAGGAAAAGCGAAGGGGGGGGGGGATGTACAGGGCGGAGGGGAGGTTCAAACAAATGGGGGGGGTCGGCCCAAGTAGTGAAGCGAAGAAGCATATCTCAAAGCTAACTCCTTTTCCCCACACTTGGTGTGAGGCTTGTCATAGTTTAAGTCAGCCACTCTCCTTGCCCACTCTTGCCGGCTTCCTGGCCAACCCCAGAGAATGCCGAGTATCTCCGGAGTACCCAGCCTCAAAAACCCCGCGCAGAATTCCGGCGAGTATCCCTGGCGTGCCCCTAGGAGAATCCCTCCAGTGTCCAATCCTGCAAAGTATCCCTGAAAATTCCTTGGAGTGCGGGAAAACGGCAGCGACGAAATCCTGCGGCGACGTATCCGCGACGTAATTTTCTGTCCGAAAACGGCAGGATAGATCCCCACGTCTGTTAGCTCTGGCGGTGGGATGACCGAAGAAAACAGCTCCACTTAAAACTGAAGAGGACTGAACTTCCCCAACTGACGGGCTCACGAACCTGGTTTTGCCAGAGCTGGGGGTTGAGTGCTTCCGGGCTCTGGGCTTGAAGCTTTCGGGTTTCTAGCCAGGGGAGGCAGGTCAGCTAAGTCTCTGAACCCAAAAAACCCGAAACCCTACACCCGGGTGCAGGATGCAGGGATGGTCCATTCTTCACTCTTTGGTCGAATTCACCTGGCAGACTCACAACTTCTGATCGTTTTGGGGGTAGGACCGGGCCTGAACATTTGCAAAAACCCAGCATGCAACTTTCGATTTCTGAACGTTTCACGACTTGCATCCGTATTCCTGCATGTAACACCACTGCCTCAACCAGGTCTGAGGCCGCTCCCGCAACCAGTTCCCAGATCAAAACCATGACAGGTCCAGTTGGAGGAGCACTGCTGAAACAACCATCTACCACAACCATTTCAGAATCAGACTCGCTTTCGGAATCGTGAACAAACTAAAGGCAACATCACATGCACCATTTTTTCAGAAAGCTGAGGGCTTACTACTTAAAGTGAGAGGGATTTACGTGCAGGCCTGCATGGCTTGCATCCGAACCAGAAGCTCGCGGAACTCATTGCACCCTAGCCACTCTGCAGCCACGGCTATTTCCAATCACGCCGATTGTTCCACGCGCCTGAAAGGCTCGAAGGTCAAAGCAAGGCCCTAAAGCCCAGAAGCATACATTCCAGGTTTCCCAGTGACCATACTTACCTACCTAGTCAGCACCCTTCCACTCCTGTGTCCTCAAGAGTGAAGGCCTCTTCTTCTCGCTGAAGCCCAGCCCTCCCTCACAACATTTGCTATGCATATTGGTCACTTCTCTAAACTATGGTCCTTTCGTGGTCCTTATTATACGGCGGCCGTCTTATTTAGGGTACCCAAAAACATGGACCATAATTTAGAGAACTGATGGGGAAGATACATATTTAAACCCCAAACAGCGTTTTGAAACTCAAGGTTGTGGTTCAGGGGTTTCAGGGCAACCTTAAACCCCAAACCGTAAACCCTAAACCCTAAACCCTAAACGCTGATTCGAAGCTCCAGGTCCATCCTTGAAGCCACCGGACGGACATCCCAGGCGCGCCTGGGTACGCTTCGAGCCAATGCGCATGCCGTCGATGTAGTACCTTAGGCACCCTAAACCCTAAACCCTTAGCCTAAACCCTAAACCCTAAACCCCGAAACCCCGAAACCCTAAACCCCAGGTTCAGGGTTGACTTGGTCTTACGGGTTTACAGGGCTTAGTGCCGTAGGAGTTGAGGGAGCCTTGTTTGCATTGAGCCTAGACCCTAAACCCTAAAAACCCCGAAGGTGCTTCTTGGCGGGGCACATCGTCCTCCGATTGCGACCCACGATGGCGATGTGATGCCAGCCGTCAGACAAGTCCCGTGCGTTGAAGCCCTCCACGAAGGAGTTGCTGTTGTAGTTCCTTTCTACTATTTGCTTAAGAATCCCCACAAGATGAAAAACAAAACGCTTTTTTAAAATTATTGTGGGTTCTTAAGTAGTTCGAGGTTGCCTAGAGCCTAGAGCCCAAAACCCGCTAAACATGAAACCTGCATTCAGGTTCTCGGGATAGATGCTAGCATACTTGAAACCTATACACCCTAAGCCCGAAGGGCAAGAGAAGTACCCTTTGAGTCCCGCAGGGCTTAGGGGGGTTGGGACACATTTGTTGGGATGCCGTGGTGTGCACGAGACTGGCGGGAGCTTGGTTTGAGCCAGTCAGGATGGCTCATCTATGACAAGAAGCTCAGACAGTGTGATTCGGACCCGTCTGTGCACCGGCGCAACAGCGGAAATCCGGGTGCGGGTACGCCAACCATAAATTTTGACTGCGAACGCAAGAGGCCCGTGGTGGCTTGGGGAATGAACGGCAAAGACCCCTAAGCCCCCAAACCCTGACCCCCAAAGCTCTTTGTAGCCCTTTGGGCTATCTCAGACTTTCGCACATTGGGCTCAAGGGGATCTCATGTTGGGAATCGCTTTCCATCGAACTCTTCATCCTCCATTTGCAGTTGAGAAGCCCAAGGCGCCCACGTGCGAGGATCACAGCGATAAGCTCTTGCGAGTTCGGCGAATCTGGTGTAGGGTTTCAGGCTCAGGGTTTGAGGGTTTGAGGGTTGGAGGGTTTAGGGTTTAGGAGGCTTTGAGGGTTTATGGATGGGGGCCGTTCAAGAGCTCTGGTCCCTTTGTCAGGAGCTTAAAACCCCCCCGTGGCTGCAGGGTCCAGCTTCCTTTTGAGGTAGTCAGGATACAAGCGTGAATAGGAACGTCTAAACCCTAAACTTTAAACCCTAAACCCTAAACCCAGGCATCTGCGGAATTTGGGAGTAGCCAAGCCAAGGAGATCCACGAGAAGCACCATTCTGTGTATCGTCCCTAGGCTTTAAGGCTCGGAGACACCCTGAACCTCAAAGGAACCGTGGCCAGAAGTCTTAGGGTAGTTACATGGTCCCTTAGAAGGGGGCCCATATATACCCCTCATGTACCCTATACAACCCAAGGGCCCATACTTCAGAGAGGAAGGCACACCCCCAAACCATAAACCCTAAAACCTAAACCTTCGACCCTAAACCCGAAACCCCAAACCCCAAACCCTAAACCCCACCCACCCCCCCCCCCCCCCGGCAGCCTAGGAGGTCACGGTACGTTCGCGCGCTGACGTCGATCGGCGCCAGAGTCCAAACGGAAATTGTCCACTCCTCGTAGGGCGAGTGATTTTATTGCAGCCGCAGATGGGAGGTTCCGACATTAGGGGTGCCTTATGGGGGTCCTTAAAATCAGGATAAGCTCTAAGCACCATAGACGCTGCAAACCTGCCGGTGCTCTGTCGAGCACACAAGAGAGGGTGAAGGGCATCCCTATACCCTACCGCCTAAACCCTGAACCCTGAACCCTAAATCATGTCTTAAAGCTGCTGGAGATTACAGTTTGGCGTTTGGGGCCTTGGGGTTTTAGGGCCTTAGCTTAAAGAGAACTGGCAGCGGGCCTAACCAAACACGAAAAAAGTAACTCCCACTAGGGATCAATCCTATTTTCTACTATTTGGGGTGTATATATATATACACATACACATATATATATAGGGTCAATCACTTTCATAAACCCTAATATTTATGGCAATTATGTTATAGTGTCATAAGCGTAGTAGTACTACATATACTTATCATGCTTATACTATCATAAGAGCAGTAGTTCGAAACATCGTCATAACATAACCATGATAGTATTAGCCGTGGTGTCGACCTATGTCATCGAGAGTGCAGCTCTCAGCGGCCTTAAACGCTTCGGCTCTCAAAGGAGGGTTCGCAGGAGTCTGTGCTCTGGACAGGGCCTCTGTCCTCTGACCCTGCGTCTCCGGGCCCTAAACCCTAAACCCTAAACCCTAAACCCTAAACCCTAAACCCTAAACCCTAAACCCTAAACCCTAAACCCTAAACCCTACACCCCTTGAAGCCCTTAACTTTCAACGTGAGAATCTCAAAGGTCAAAAGGCCGGAAATCAAGGCTGGAACAGGCCGAAGACGCCCTGGCACTACCCTGAGGGTTGCGCTGGTTTCCCCAAGCCCCCGGCCCCAATCCTGCAGAGAGTACTACCCCAAACCCTAACCCTAAACCCTAAACCCTAAACCTACCAGCAGCGAATTCGAGAACACCCCACAGCATGCCGAGGCACAGATCCCAGCTGCACCGTCTGCGGAAGCAGCAGGCATCCACGTCCTGCCCCCAGAGAGCATAGGGGGGCTCAGGCTTATACTAAGATTTCAGGCAGCTTTGCGGCTTCTTTGAACCATCGGCCCTTTTTCTCTAAAAGGGGGGGGGGAGGCCTACTCACGTAGCCCAGAAGCGCTCAGAAGATTGAGGTGACTGCAGGTTGAACTGCTGCCTGAACTCCTGAACTGAGCTCTAAACTTCATACGGCTTATGGTTGAAATTTTGGGCCAGAGCCCTACACTTCGCAGAGCTTGGGCTTTAGGATTGACGGTTTCGCCTTGCACCCTCCAGAACCCCAAAACCCTGAAATCTTCACGGAACCCTTCGAAGAGGGGCCCAGCACGGAGCCCCCGAACGGACCAAACCTCTCGGGGCTTAGGGCTGAGGTTTTTGGGGCTCGTTTAGGGCTTAGGGTGTGGGGCTTAGGGTTGAAGGTTTTCGGGCTCCAGTGCATGCACATAGAGTTCCGAAGAGGCGGCTAAGGTGACATGAGGGTTGAGGGTGTCACTGCGCGAGGCGCCGGACCGTAAAAACCCAACAAGACTCCAAAAACCCTAAAAAAACGCAAAAACGTGTCCCTCTCTGCGCAAGGCTTAGGGGTTCAACCACTAAAGTCCCCAGACCCAAGACTAACGAAGGAATCCCAAAGAGAACCCAAAACCCCCCAAAAAAGGGAATAGGGGCCTTTTCTGGGTCCTAGCCCCCCATACCCTACGGCCCCCAAAAGCCTTGGCAGTTAAGGGCTTCCGGTTGCTGGCTCCGTCGAAGTTGATGCCGCGCTTCCCGCCCGTGTTGATGGCTGTGACATCATCCGGGTTGTGGATGGTGCCTGTCTTCTCAGAAAGGCTAGGTTGCCCAGTAACCTAGGAATAAAAAGGGTGCCCTTTTTTGCTTAACAGGGGTTTATAAGGGAACCTAAACCCCCAAAAAAGCGAATAAGGGTACTACTGGGCATCCTAGAAGGCGAAGACCCCCCCAACAAATTTACGAAGGCGGCTTATTTCGGGTTGGGGTTGAGGGAAGCCTACGGTCAGAGAGCCCAACACAAACCGCCAAATAGGGCCCTCCAGGGAACTTCGTTTCCATACGCAACCCCTAAACTCTAAACCCTAAATCCTAAACCCTAAATTCTAAACCCTAAACCCTAAACCCTAAACCCTAAACCCCTTGGTCGGTCCCAGGTGTGGACGAGGTGGGGTGGAGGGGTGGGGGTGGAAATCGGCGGCCCAAGGCTCCCATCACGAAGGATTTGCAAGAGCTATCTCGAAGAGACGGCCCGAAGCTATCTTACGCGATTGAGACAAAGGTTTAGGGTTTAGGGTTTAGGGTTTAGGGTTTGGGGTTTAGGGTTTAGGGTGGCCAAGCAGCAGCGGCTTAGCCCTGAAACCCCACCCAGACCTCGAGGATCCAAAAAATGGATCCTCTTAAGGGTTGCTAAAAATGACCCAATCGTACTATAGGGTACTATTTGGGGGTTCCATGTTTTGGGGAAGCAGTCCTGAATTCAAGCTCGGTGGGATGTTACGTCCAACTTGTAAAACTGCATTTTTCCGAGGAAAAACCCAGAAATCAGACAAAGACGAAGACAGGAAAACCATAGGTGTGGATCATGGGGGGGGGGGGTGACCTAATGAGTATTAGGAAACCTAAATCCACCCACCAAGAACAGTAACATAAACCCTGTTTCATATGGGGGGGTGTTGGCATGTCTGAATCTTGCGCCCAAGGGCCAGAGGAGCCACTGATGCCTTCATAGCCCAGGTTCTCCGGGTCGTCGAAGGTGAGGCGGACCAAGGGGTGTGCAACCAGACCTTTGGGTGCACGGGGTTGAGGGTCTTAGGGTTTAGGGTTGAGGCCTTGGGTTCAGGGCTTAGGCTCTTTGCAGCGTTTGAACCAGGGTTTTGATAGCTGCGATCAAAGGGGCTCTTTGGGGGGTAGCCCAAACCCCTCCACCTTTTAGAGATGCCAAGCCGCTGTCCACCAGTATCAGCGTGATGTCTTCGTGAAGGCTGTAGTCCATCCTTATAGGACATGAAGGTTTACATGAGGGGATCCGGGGATTCAGTGTTTAGTGCCGAGGGCTTAGAGGCTTATAGTGTCTTTTGTTTCAGTTACTACGCACTTTTGTGTGGAATTGTTGAGGGCTTTGTATGGACAGTTCGCTAAATGCTGTTCGGTATCCCGAGAGGAGAACTCAGGTCCGAATGTAGAGCCAAGCCAGGGCTGGGACATAAACGCGATCCGTTAGAGCTCCCCACGTGTTCGCACAGCAGAGTTAGATGAACTCAGCAATACCACCAGCCGGCAGCTTGTGCAATTGTGGTGGCTGCTTGGTGTTCCGAAAATGCTTGTGACTAGTGAATTTCAGGGTGTCAAGGGAAGCGTTGTGAAAGCCAAGTGTCAGGAGATGCGTGTCCTTCATCTCAACCATCCCATCCGTCGTTGTGCACAGCTTGACGATGCAGCTTTGGCAATCCTCGGAACCCGCGCCGCTTCAGCGCTAGCAGATGCCTGTAACCCCAAACCCCTATCCTGGAGACGTGGAGATGTGGGACGTGGGTAGGAACCCTGCGCTGAAACCCCAAAACCCTGAACTTTAGCCCTGCACCCTCGAAGCGGCACAAGCCCCAAAGCCCAATGCCCTAAGCCGACATCCTTGAGACTGAGCATCTGCAAGGGTTTGGGGTTTAGGCAAGGGTTTAGGGTTTGGGGTTTGGGGTTTAGGGTTCAGGGTTTGGCGTTTAAGGTTTAGGGCTTGTAAGTGGGTGTCTGGGGCATTTTGGCCTGGTCAACCCGAAGCAGGCCACCGAAACAAGGTCCTTTTGGGTGTTGGAATGTTAGAGAGTACCAGGGTTTCAGGGTCGGCGGCTTTAGTGTTTCGGTAGTGATCTTTTTTGGGGGTCAAACCTTAAACCCGCGGGTCAAACCTTAAACCCTAAACCAACCCCTATACCCCAAACCCTCAGGTATGGGGTCTTAAGCTTGGAAACCTAGAAGCCATCTAACAATAAGGGCATCCTTTTTTGGGTTCAGGGTTTAGGGTTACTTTACAAGGGAGCCAAAAAAGGGTAAAAGGGTACCACTGGGCTACCAAGAAAAACTCAAGCAGAAGACCAGCTGAAAGCTCACTTGGGGCCCCAGCTCCTCGAACCCTAAACCCTAAACCCTAAACCCTAAACCCTAAACCCTAAACCCTAAGCATGAACCTGGTCCTTGGAACCCGAGATCGCCACTACATCTCCAACCCCCAGAGTCACCAACGTGTTACTTTGCTGGTGAGCTTCGTACTTTGCTCGGATGGCCTGTTTTACCTCGGCTGCGCAAGTTGGGTTTCGTGGTGCCGGGCTTGTTCAAGCTTGATTCAGGCGTGCGAATTCCTCACTTGTGCTGCGCTGCTTCTCTTGCAAGAAGCCAGACGAACTAGGACCCCGATCGAAGGCTGCAGTTAAGTTGAACGGAATTGAAGGCCGAGGCTAAAGACTCTTTACAATGCTTCTCAAAGGGCTTAGTAAGGCCTAGTAAGGTTTCCTGAGTCGCCGGCTGTCTGGACAGTATCCACGGCCGGATGCACTGTGACTGGGTACTCCTTCCCAGTGAGGCCCTGCGGGATTGGTGCGTTTGGACTTGAGTGTTGGACCCCAAACCCTAAACTTGGGGACGGTCCCCCTTGTGGAAGGCGTCTTGAGTATTCGATAGGAATACCAATACTTGCGCGCAACTGTGCAGGTGGTGCATCCCAAAGAGAAACCCAATCCTATGGGATTGACAAGAGTAGGCTTCCAAACCCACGAAGCCCCATGCTACGAAACCTAATATCCTACGAAGCCTATGTCCTACGTCCAGCAACAGATCTGTCCAGAAACTGGACGGATCTCCGTAAAGTCTCACTCGGAAGAGGGTAAAGGAATGCCTGCAGCTCGAGAAGTACAGCGCGCTCAAGAGCCAGTCCGGAGTTGCTCCACGGGGAACAGCCGACTTAAACTTTGGTCGCGATTGCTCTTTACGGTGGGAGCGTAGATTTGGGGAGAACAGGAGGGTCAACCATGAATCCCTAAATCCCTACATGTGCATTTTTCCCAAAGTGGGGGTAGTAACCTCAGGCACCCTTTGTCGGGGGTTCCTCGAATGGAGATTTGTAGCAAGTTGGGGGTATTTAGAGGGTACCCCTATCTTGGGAAACGCCCAAGTCCACACACACAAGCGCCCGTCAAGATCTGAGTTCCGAAGCACTAGTGATACTTGTATGTAGGGTCTAGGGCTTCGGAGCACTACGGGGTGTTGTTCTAAATCAGGATCCCTTGCTGGTGGCGTTTTGTAAGGATCCCTACCACAGTAGGTCGCTTCTTAACCCTTTAAACCCTAAACCCTAACAGCCCCTAAACCCTACTAACCCCTAAACCTTCACAACCCCTACAGCCCTAACAACCACCTTTAAACCCCCCCAAACCATCCCACCCTTGCATACCCTTTAAACTTACCATGAAGCCGAAGGGCCTATGACCTACGAGGCCAGAGCTCTAAACGATAAGCCCCAAACCAACCTAACCCTAAACCTTAAACCCTAAACCTTAAACCCGAAACCCTAAACCCCAAACACTCAACCCTAAACCCCAGACCCTAAACCCTGAGCCCCCCCCCCCCCCCCCCCCCCCCCCCCCCCGCAAAAAAAAAACAAAAAAACGAAAAAAGGCCTTTGGACAGAACTCGTGCGTGAGCGCTGCCAGTCGCTGCTTACCTCTGGGGCTGCCAGCTCCAGGGATCTCTTGGCCCTTGAAACCATTGGTCTTAGGGGGGGGGGGTTTAGGGTTCAGGGTTTACGGTTTAGGGTTTAGGGTTTGGGGTTTAGGGTTGGGGATGTTCACCCTTATACAAATGGTCCTTAGTAGGCAGTAGAATAGGGGGTACTATGATCCTTACTAAGGACTGTTAGTATAAGGGGGAACATCCCAAGCTTCAATGTTGTTGCTTTAGGGTTCAGGGCTCAGGGTTTGGGCTTTTGGTCTTGGGCCTAGGGGATACCGAGTTCCCCGAGGCCGAAAGTTCTAACAGGGTTCGGGGTTTAGGTGGGTTTATACCCGTCAGGGGAAGGCCCAGAAGTGTCAGAAATCGACGTGAGCGCTCGGGTGCCTGGCAATATTCAACCCCCTGAACCCGAAGCCCTGGGTCAAGTTCTGTTTCAGTTCGTAAACTTTGGGGTGAGCTTCTGAACTCTAAACCCTAAACCCTAAACCCTAAACCCTAAACCCTAAACCCTAAACCCTAAACCTTTCTGATCACGGCTTGGGGTGAGCGGCGTTTTTGAGCGCCAGGGTTGCACATCGTGGCTTGTGAGAGCTGGATTTGTGGGTTCTGGGGGGTTGTGGTCACTTGGGGCCACTCTGCAACAGCCCTCTAAACCCTAAACCCTAAACCCTAAACCCTAAACCCTAAACCCTAAACCCTAAACCCTAAACCCTAGACCCTAAACTGTCGCCACCCAAGCGGCCATACTCCTCCAAATGCCTCGAGCTCGAGACCACCTCGCGCAACATTTGCGCCGTGGCCTGCAAAGGCAAGAAGCGGCTTTGAGTTGGGGCTTGGGGCTCGAACGGTTAAGGCCCCACACCCTGAATCCAGGAACAACATATATATATATATATACTGTGTGTTTGTGTAAAGAGGCACTCATGTTCACTTGAAGCATCAGCCCCTGCGCAAGGATGACACGCTGAGCGCGTCCACTGAGGTCTTAACCATAAACTATGCCAACGATGTTGGCTCAAGTCTCGGAGCAAATGCACGGAGTGCAGCTTGGTTTTCGGGTTCTTTCGGGTTCTTCCGGGTTTTGGGGTTTGGTTTCCTCTTCCCGGTACCCTAGTCCCACCCCCTGTCCTGGTACCCTAGTCCTGCGACCCAGTCCAGGGTGTGAAGGGTGCGTTCGTTCAGGGGTTCAGGGCTAAGAAGGTGGTTGATGATTGAGGTCCAAGGCGGAAGAGATGGCGGGGGATACTCGTGATTTATCTAGGGTTTTGATGAACGATGTTCCTCTCCAGATGCTGCCTCAATCTCCCACTCCATCACACTTCAGCAGAATCACCGAAAGCAGCCCTGACCAACATCAGGGTATGAGCCCAAACGCTCCAAGCAATCCCGCAGAAGCGCAGCAGCAGCAGCATCAGCGTTCCTCACTTTCTGTCTCTGGCCAGGGCACACAAGTTGGGGATGTTGTCATGAATACGCCAGGTGCAGAGTTCCTTGTCCGTCAAATGAACGAGATTAGATCTGCAAATGGTGACGTGGTCCGAATGATGCGACAGTTAGAGGGAAATCATTGGGATCTTATTGCTATGACTGGTATGGATCAAGTGCAGCAGAACCTTGAAGGCATTCGTCATGAGATGGAGCGTCGCACAAATCTGCTGGGCACTGGCCTGACAACCACTGTTGCTGGAATAGAGCAGCTGCGCGACGCAGCGTTGCAGAGTCGCCAGGCTTATGGCCAGGCGAGTGAAGCATGCAGCACCTTGACAAGTCAGATGAATGAGCTCGCTACAGCTGTGAGACATTTGAGTCAAAGGGTTGATGACCTAGAGGGCCAGGTGTTTCTTCAAGACGCTGTGAGCAAGCAAGTGAATGAGATCCGTGATCGTATAGCCGCATTGGAGTTTCAAGCTGTAGCTGGAGGTGAATGGCCTGAAGCTGAAAGGAAAATCTTCCTGAAGGAGCATAAGCTACAATCCGACAAGACTTCATTGTGCATTCACGATCTACAAGAGCAAGTGAGACAGCTCAATGAGAAAACCCAAGAAGAGAAGCGAGGTTCCTCGACACAGTTGGCGCTTGTCCTTGAACGTGTGGTTGGCGTTGAAAAGATTTGCAAGAAACTTCGTGAGCGTGACGAGGAGATCCAGGGTCACTTGAGTCACGTAATACCGCAGTCTATTGCCTCGGACGCAGGACCCCAGCAGGAAAGCCAGGCGCCAGCAAGCCTTGGGGAACCGCAGACTTTTTCCATTGGAAGTGGGACGCCGCTTCAGGTCAATGAAAGGTCTGGTGAAGATGACTGGTGGGAGGCGTACGATGACAGACCAATCAGCTCTTGGTTGACAAAACCGCCGGGCCTTCCCATGGAATCAGCCTGGATGAATGAGGGTTGGGGTGCCAATGCCCCTACTCAGCCGCCTCCCCTTCCCAAAGAATTTCGTTCGTAGCTCGAGCCAGGATGGTTTCCATCTAGATGGACATGAGCTGAGAGTTGCAGGGGGCCAGTGGAAGTTGATGAAGGAGTTCCCGAGGATCCTTGAGCCGCGAGGTCAGGCATGGGAACGAGGCCTCCAATTCTCGCAGTATGCTACCGAAATGGTGTCCGTTGCATCGTGTATCGGTGCTGGGTTCGGAAAGTTCGTGAGGCACCAAATCGATGCAGCGTTGGGGCGCTTTCAACGGCGCATGGATGCCGGGGTTCATGACCCCGATGTTCCCCCTGTTGCCAGCGGATGCGAGGAGTTTGAGAGCAGGTTGGCTATGACTTTGCTTTCGCAGACGAGTGATGATATCAAACGAGGTGTGATTGAGTCAGCTGCGGGTCAAGTGGTTCCTTCATTAACGATCCTAGAAGCGATTCTTGAGCGCTACCAACCTGGTGGTATTGAAGAGAAGTCAAGCCTGACGTCGTTTTTGAGGAACCTGCCGCAGGCAAATACTTTCACTGAATGTTTGGCAACACTTAGAAGGCTAAAGCTGGCTACATCCCGGATTCTTGTCCTTGGTTTGCCGAGTCATCCTCCACATGAAGCCATTTCTTCCTTGAACCACATGGTGAAAACTCTAGAAAAGAAGAGTCCCACCCTGAGTACGCGCTTGAATTTGCTTCGTCTTCGTCCTGAGATCTTGAATCCCACCGAAGAAGGTGTGAGTCTCCTGCAGACGGCGATTGAGGCAGAAGCACGGCGACTGGCAGCTGAGGAGTTCTCTAAGCCACATCACCCGAAAGGTTCTGATGCTGGAACTGGAGAGTATGAGATCACAGCTGCTAAGGGTAAAGGGAAAGGCAAGAAAGGAAAACCAACAGGTGATACCAAGTCAACTCCATGTGCATTCTTTAACACTGAGCGAGGGTGCTTGAAGGGAAAGGATTGCGAGTATTGGCATGGTGATCCTAAGGGGGCAAAAGCCAAAGGCAAGGGCAAGGGCAAGGAGGATTCAAAGACAAGGGCAGCGGCCAAGGAGGCTGAAGCGAAGGCCAAAGAGAAAGCTGAAGCAAGGGAGGCAAAAGCCAAAGCCAAGGCCGCAGCAAAGGAAGCAGCAGCAAGAGACAAACCGGACCCCAAGGCAAAGCCAGGTGCTAAAGCGAAGGCAGCAGCACTTGTTGGAGCTGAGGCGAAGTCTGCTACATGTTATCGAGTGTGTGCAAACATGGCATTGCGTGAGAACGATCAACCTTCTGACGATGGTATCTCTTCCTCTTCAGAGCTTTCCGAACTGGATGGTGTTAGGAGCGATGACCTTACTCCGAGTGAATTCGGGGACGAGTTTCAGGAGGAGAGTGACGACGAGCCAGGTCCATGGATGTGGAGCTTGCGCTTGACGGGTTTGGAGTGGAAAATGTGGACTCACCCAGGCAACATCGTCACCAGGGCGCATGCGGAGTTTGAGCACATTGATGATTATCGCAGTGTGGAGCATGGAGCATGGATTCTGCATAGGGCTGGGCAATTAGATGAGCTGCCGGCTGTGTTGAATGATGAATGGACCGTCACTGCTGTACACAATGTGTTGGTTCTGGATCCGGTCACGAGAGTCTTCAAGGGGGCCTTTGCCTTCGAGCTTGAGCGTGTAGATGTCCAGTCCAAGCTTCGTTTTGTGGTAGCGGTGGAAAGAAATCAGCCGTACGTAGAGCCATGGCCTGAGGATGTATGGTTTAATGAATGCATGAGATTCGGCTTCGGGGCTCCCACCGGGCATGTCAGGGACCGAATTCCACTAGAGGAAATGTTGAATGGTCATGGATTTGGTCACCTAGCTGAGACCCTGGGTTTGTTAGGTGCCGAGTTTGCTGATGATCTTGCCTTCCTGAGTCCTCGAGATTTGGTAGAGAATGGCATTCAACGGCAGGTTGCTGAGGACCTGTTTCAGCATGAAGGTGTCCTGTATGAAGTCCACGCCTCTACGGGAGTCCAGGGTGTTCGGCTGGAAGAAGAACAGATTGAGGAACTTGCGTTCTCTTTATATGCATCTTGGCAGGCGGGAGAACCGGTGAGTGATGAAGAGTACGACCCCGAAGTCCAACAAAGATTCCATGGCATGGTGCGTAGGCGGCGCCAAGGTGCTGCAAACATGTGTTGTGTCTCGGGCAATCGTGTTGAGAGTGATGGTTTTGTTCTCGTTGACAGCGGGGCCAACGAAGTGCTCCGTCCACAGACTAAGCGGCAATCCTCATTAGGTGAAGAAACGCTTCAGGTCACTCTCGCGTCAGGGTCGCAGTGCGCAGCCACCTTGAACAAACATGGAGAGGTGTGCATGATCTCAGAGAATGGAGCCAAGGGAGAGTGGATCGTTGGAGTTAGGAAGATCATCGACATAGGAGGGGCTTTCAATTGGGACCAGAAGGGCGCTAGAATCTCGTACCCACATCCTTTCGAACACGCTAGGATTGTGAATGTTGACTGCGTTGTCACCAATGGCCTACCGTACATGAGATGGTCTGATTTCAAACTTGCGCGTATTGCACTCAGCAAGCATTATCGGATGCAGCAGAAGAGCATTTGCAGTCACAAGGTTGTCACTGACATTCCCGAAATCCCTGTGATTCCCCCGGAGAGCCAGGTCATTGACTGGGTTGATGTGTTGGAGTTTCAGGAGGAGTCAGGGGATCACATTCAGGGATGCAAGGCTGTCGAAGTAATAACCAGTGAATCCTTTGCCGAAAAACTGCTTGAAAGGGATCATGTGGAGCATCATGAGGTTTTGGCAGCTGTGAAGATGGCAGATCTAAAGCCCTTGATCCTTCGTAGGAGCTCTAAGGTGGTAGGAGAACCATCGGTCGCGAAGCTGTGGGTCTTCGGGTCCTATGTTAGGGGCGGTCTGTGTGGAATCACGCGTGTCACCAAGCAGCACCCTTTCCTCACCAAACTTGCCACTAAGTTTATGAAGCAGCACACTGAGAATCCCTTTATGGCTATTGCTATAGCTGAGGATGTAGCTTTCAAGCCGCACCGTGATCCAAACGACGGCTCATTTGATTCCACGATTGTAGGTCTGAGTAGCTTTCAGGGCGGCCATCTGTGGACTGAAAATGCATCGAGTGACCTGGATGAGGACCAGGCAGTGTGGCGGTACACAGAAACGGATTCCGCACCTATTCCTGGAAAGCTCCACAGACTCGACGATGGTAGAGCAGCTTCTTTCTGTGCCACTCGTTGGCACGGTACAGAACCCTATGTTGGCAACAGAGTAGTGATGATTTCATACATCCCCAAAGGATGGAAGGCCATCGATTTGAACATGCGATGTCGACTTGAACAGCTGGGCTTCCAACTGCCACGTCAGGATCTGGAGACGAGACTTTGCGCAGCCAGTGACGCAGATGTTGCAGCTTTCAAAGCTTTGATTGCTCAGTCGTCAGAGGTCTTCTTGAACCCTGGAGCCGCAGTCACACTTGAGGAGCGAAACACACTTCAGCATGACACATACAAGCACAGTCAGCAGAAACATCCTTCCTCTCCTCTTTCTCCTGATGATGGTGATGATGATGAAGGGATTGAGGGTCGGGATGGCGTTTTGGGATGTGAGGGTTATGTTGGGGACGGGGTTCGTAGCGAGACAGAGCATCCATGGAAGAGCGCCTGTGACTTGGACTTGAAATCTCCCCTCACACCCTCCCCTGAGGATGCTGTGCGAAAGGCTTGCCGGGAAGGTTTGTATGACAAGAGGAATCATGCCAGCGTGCAGGCGAGAGGCCATCGTCGGCCCCACAGAAAATTGCCTGCAAAAGACATCAACGACGGGGTGATCTCGATTGACTTGAGTGGGCCACATAAGGAGTCATTTGCAGGGAATCGTTACGCTTTAGTTGCGTGTGCACACATTGCTGAGGGCCTTGATTTGCCTTTTGTGCGAGGGATTCGCACTAAGGAGGCAGCAGTTGTGACAGAGGCGCTGCGAGATATCTTGAATCAGCTGGTGTCAATGGCTGAAGGGCAACAAATCACTTTCCGGATTCATTCTGATCAGGGTCGTGAGTTCACTGCTCGCCTGTCCGCTGAACAGCTTAAGACTTATAACCACTATCGTACTTTTGCGGTCCCTTACTCACATCAATCAAACGGGCGAGTAGAGAACTTGATCGACCAACTGAAAACGTCAACTGCCACAATGCTCTTGGGAGGGAAGCTGGATATGAGGTTCTGGGATGAACTAATGGTTCATGCTGCAAAACTTCGGCGCATGAGAGCGTTGAACCTGAAGATCCCCAAAGACCTTCCAGCTCCAGGTGACTACGTGTTGTCGCGACTGCCTAGGGATCAGATGCCAGACTTCCGAGATCGGACCGAGCCTGGAGTTTTCCTGGGTTTGTCGGAACATGTGGCAAACGGTTCTAAAGTGTTGGTGGAGCGTGACGGAAGAGTTCTTGTGCGGTATGCTCGGTTACCGATACTCCTTGACAGAGAGAAGCCACGGTGGAGACTCGTGGAGAATCCTGGTAGTGATCAGAAGACCTGGGTTTCGGATAAAGGGCAAATTGCATGGGCTGCACCATCCGATACGGACATCTTGACGGTGGAGGAAAAGCTAGGATGCAACATCGCAAGTCCGGATGAGGTGTTTGTGAGACTGAACAACTTGCTTGAGAAGACTCGAGGGTCTGAGGTTGAAAAGGAGATTTTCAATTTGTTCAGTCATGGCATCATCGCTCAGCTCCCAGAAGTTGCAGAGGCCCACATGGTTAGAACACATGAAGCTGGCGAGGAGGTTGAGGAGGAGCCTCACCCAGCAGATGAGAGTGAAGACTCATTTGGACACAAGTTCATGAAGTTTGTTGCTAGCCGGGCGGTGTCTGCTCCAGATGTTTCTGCGCCCGATAAGTCCGAGAAGTACATCACAAGGACCGACGAAGATGAACAAGAAGCAGAAGAGATTTTTCAAAACTTGTTGCGTGAAGCACAGCAACGTCGTGGATCAGCAGAGGTTGTGCCTAACTCCGTCTTGACAGGTGAACGTGCTGAAAAATGGATTGAAGCAGTCCAGAAGGAATTGACCAGTGTAGAGAGCAAGGACGTTTTATTGCCTGTCCGACAGGGCTATGAACGAGAGGATCTACACTTGGAGGCTGGTGAAGAGATTCCCCGAACCATCCCAATGAAGCTTGTGCTATCCGAGAAACCGCTTACAGAACCTGACAGCTCTGCGAATTGCGATACAGATGGGCAAGGGTTTTTAGCGAAAGCACGTTTGGTTGCATGTGGCAATTTTCAAAACAATGAGTTCGCGAAGGACGAGCTATCAACCGAGAATGTGCCGTCCTGGATTGTGCGGACCATGTACCATAAGCTTGCTCAGGAACCAACTTGGATAGCAGGTGCGGCGGACATCTCAACGGCATTCCTGAACACTGTGCTTCGACGTGGTGAAGCACCGCTTTTGGATCCACCGGCTATCTTGAAACGCTTGAAGCTGGTACCTCATGGGGTGAAGTATCTTCCTTTGCGGGCGTTGTATGGACTTCGGATCTCGCCCAAGGAATGGGCTAAAGACCGGGACTCAACCTTGAACGGGAGTGTTCTTGAGCCTCGTGAGGGAGATGAGATGCCAGCAGTGCGGCTTGAGCCGCTTGATATTTGTGAGGGCCTTTGGCGACTGATTGATGTGGCATCGGGCCAAGTGACGGGATTACTTACTTTGTACGTGGATGATGTGCTCGTTGTAGGGTGTCCTGAAATGGTATCACGATGCCTGGAGTTTATCGGCCAGAAGTGGGCTATGAAGCTCCAAGGGTTCATTAGTCGTGAAGAGAGAACAATCAAGTGTGGAAGTTTGGGACAGCTTGAGCGCAAAACAGAGCTTGTTTTCCTTGGGGTGCAAATGAGTTTCAACATGGAGGGCGATGTCATCATCAGTCAGCGCGCGTGGATTCTACAGGAACTCCATCGACGACAGTGGCACCTTAAGGGCTGCGCAACTCTACCACAGCTTGAACTCAACGACGATGAAGTCAAGGATGAGGCCTATGAGCAGAATAAGCTTGAGTGCCAGCGAGAGCTAGGAACGCTCTTGTGGATGAGTACAAGATCACGGCCTGACATCGCCAGTACGGTTGGGATCTTGGCGTCGGAGTTGACTCATAGACCAAAACGGGTTTTGCAGTTGATTCGTCATGTGTGGCGTTACATCCGCGGAACATTGAACGTCTGTTTGACCTACAAAGCGCAGAAAAACATTCAGGAGTTCACGTGTTACAGTGACGCTTCGTTTGCACCCACAGCTGGAAGGTCGAGATCTGGCATGGTCTACATGCTAGGATCTAGCATTCTTGATTGGGCTTCCACGAAGCAAACACTGACGTCATGGTCAGCTACCGAAGCGGAAACGGTTGCTATGTCAGAATGCTTAAGTCAGGGTGGACGCATGCAAGACACAGTGAACCAGCTGATTGGAGTGACGCTTCCCATCATGTTGCGATGCGACAATGCAGCTGCCATCATCTTAGCTTTGAGAGAATCCCTGCAGCCCCTGAAATGGAAAACGCGAGGCGTGGCGCTTCGGGCGAGCTGGTTGAGGGATTCCATTAGGGATCTCGAAGCTGGCGTTACCCACGAGCCGGGGGCAACCCTGGTAGCAGATTTACTCACGAAAACCCTCCCTCGAGTTCGGCTGCAAACTCTCAGAGAGAAGGTTGGACTTCTTGAACGAACTTGACGCGCTTCGCATTGCTAACGGGAGCAATGGAAGAAGTTCTACTTTTGCTTCACTGGTGGCCTTTGTCCTGCATAAACGGTTCGGGTCCACTTGTGCTAATCTTTCCTTAGAAGCTCTGCCGAAGGAATAGTCCAGCAGAGTTGATGCATGAGCGCTTTTGGGGGCCCAGAGAGCAGTGCCTGAAGGGTGCTGCGAGCATCAAGATTTGACATTTGAAACTCCCAGCAAGGAGGAGTGTTTGTGTAAAGAGGCACTCATGTTCACTTGAAGCATCAGCCCCTGCGCAAGGATGACACGCTGAGCGCGTCCACTGAGGTCTTAACCATAAACTATGCCAACGATGTTGGCTCAAGTCTCGGAGCAAATGCACGGAGTGCAGCTTGGTTTTCGGGTTCTTTCGGGTTCTTCCGGGTTTTGGGGTTTGGTTTCCTCTTCCCGGTACCCTAGTCCCACCCCCTGTCCTGGTACCCTAGTCCTGCGACCCAGTCCAGGGTGTGAAGGGTGCGTTCGTTCAGGGGTTCAGGGCTAAGAAGGTGGTTGATGATTGAGGTCCAAGGCGGAAGAGATGGCGGGGGATACTGATGATTTATCTAGGGTTTTGATGAACGATGTTCCTCTCCAGATGCTGCCTCAATCTCCCACTCCATCACACTTCAGCAGAATCACCGAAAGCAGCCCTGACCAACATCACTGTGTATATGTGTATATTTATATATAGATATAATCTAACCTGCAGCTTCGATGGGTCTACCCGCTACCAGTGCTGGTGAACGCTGGCGGTGTGGCACCCGCAAAGCCTAAGTGAATTGGCGCCGGGAATAGAGGGTGTTGGGCTTGCAGATTCAGAAGGCAAGATGCCGATAAAAGCAACCGAAACCACCCCCCCGCTCTCCCATGTCCACGTTTTGGCCCGACGGCTCCTGCGTGTAGGGCACTTCTGTGGCATCCAGGTTCGGATGCAAAACAGCTGAGACAGCGGCAACCTGCACGCACAGGGCCCAGAGTAACGCATGTCGGGTTGTTGAAGCACTCTGAGGCACTACAGGATTGCAGGCACCTCACGCCCAGCTTGGGCTGAGGCCAACTTGCCGTGGCTTTTGGAACTGTGGTCAGAGAGGGGAACCTAACCCCAAAATAAGGGGAAATAGTAGCACTGGGAGAGAGAGGGAAAGAGAGGTAGAGAGAGGGAGAACACCAGAGGGAGAGAGGGACTCCGGGAGTTTCAGTATCTACCCAGTGTCCCCCAAACCTCTACTTGTGAGCAAAGCAGTGTGTGCTTAAACCTTCAGTGAGATGCTTTATTGGAGGGGTTTAGGGGTTTAGGGTTTAGGGCCCAACCCCTCACACCTGCTGCTGGAGCTGGGCCGCTTCCAGGAAAACGCGATCCCCATCCTCGGGTACATGCAGAGGGCAGAAGAGGTTTAGGGTTTTAGGGTTTAGGGTTTAGGGTCCCTTTCCAGACTCGAAACCTGCTTCGCAGATCTGTAACGGCTCAAAGAAACAAGGTGCTGCATGCAGGGTAAGCAGGTGTGACAATGAGGGGGAAGCGGATTGTCTGGCACGCGCGCGCGGGCACACAAACGCACCCAAAGCACAGGAAGGCTCAAAAGTGGCTGCTTCTTTTTCCGAACGCGGATAACCATAACCAGAGCAACACGAAAAGGAGCTATGGTTGTTGAGGTTAGGTCTCCAATGTTTGGCTCGGGTTCTGCCAGTGGCTCGTTGGTCTCGCCTGCATCGCCTCCGGGCCAAGTTTCCGAGAAGTTTCCGAGTCAAAACCAGCCATGCACTTGCCACCTAAAGAGTCCCTAAGACGTCAAGCTCCAAGCCCTACTTGGAGGTTTATGGGTACTTATAACCCCAAGTATAACTGTACTTCTAAACCAAATCCCCTAAGTAGGTTATAAGTAGACTTCTAACTGGGGATATAAGTACGCGTGAACCTCCAAGGAACCTCTAAACCCTACACTCAGAGGGCCGCGCTTTAGATTGAAGACTTAGTTATGTACGTGTTCTGTAGTGATGTTGCGTGTGGGCATCCTAGCCCTTGCTGAAAACGCCTAATTCCACAAAGTCCGAACTGGGTCCGAGGCTACGGGGTTGCACTCACCCCCCCCTCTAAAAAGCCTCCTTAGCCATGCCGGGACGGGTAGGCGGGGGGGGTTTAAACCCCTAAACCCTTAACCCTAAACCCTAAACCCTAAACCCTAAACCCTAAACCCTAAACCCGTCCCCAATCCTAGACGGGGAGACACGCGGGCCTTCTCTCGGAGCCAAGCGCTCGGCCAAGGAGAGCAAGGCGGTCTTGAAAGTGTTCCGCTCCTCCCCCCGGAAATTCAGAGGACTTGGTTGAAGGATGAAGGGTTTAGGGTTTTTAGGGTTTAGGGTTTAGGGTTCAGGGGTTTGGGAAGGTCAAGGGGAATTCAGGGTGCTCGGACCTTGGCTTAGTGTTTGAGGTCCAGGAGTCTCGGGTTCAGGGGAAGTCTGCGTGGTTGGAGTAAAGTTGCCGTGCAAGAAACGAGGGTCACTGTGGGTACCCAGCATGCATATATATATATATATATATATGGAAACCCTAAACCCTAAACCCTAAACCTAAACCCTAAACCCTAAACCCCAAAATGCGCCTTCTCCAGCGACTCGTCGTGCGCGCGCTGGATGGATGAGGTGACCTCCGCGACGTGCGTGGCATACTGCTTCTGCAGTGTGGCCGTCAGCCTTGGCCGAATCACCCTAAGCCCTAAAGCCCTAAAGCCCTAAAGCCCTAAAGCCCTAAAGCCCTAAAGCCCTAAAGCCCTAAAGCCCTAAAGCCCTAAAGCCCTAAAGCCCTAAAGCCTAACATCATGCAGGGTTCTCATGGTGGTTGCGCTTCGGGATGAGGGAGTTCAGCTTCCATGGGGATGCTGTGGTTCAAACCCTTGCTCCCAGAACTGTCAATCTCCTTGGCTGCACTTAGGAGGGTAGCTAAAAACTAAAAATTTTAGCTGCCTTATTAAGAAACCCAACAAACCCAAAAAGGCTAAGGATCTAAAGTTACAGTAAAGCACCACAAAGTCTCTTCCAGAGTGCTGAACCCCAGCACCTGCCTGAACCTCATGGTCTGGGAGGTACGCAGCGGTTCAACAGACAGGGCTTCTTTGTGTGAAATTCTGCGCATTCTCGCCAAGGGAAGTACGAGCGGCTTCGTGGCTTGATGGCCCGAACAATCTTGGCTGTGTGGGCTTAGGGTCTTGGGTTTGATCCGCCCCTCATTGCGCTTTCCCAAATTCATCCACTGTCCAAGTGCAAGTGTCCGTCAGGTTTTTCGATACGCATGGCATGCGGCTCTCAGCCTAGCTGCGCTTTGGGACGAGTTTCTGTGTAGCAGGACTGGCCCCAAAGTGGAATTTTGGCGGTTGACAGCACAGACCGTTTTCGGACGTGACCCCAAACCCTAAACCCTCTGCCAGCATTCTCTCCTCAATGCGCGCCCAGGCACGTGCAGCTGAGGCTGTGAAAGAAATGGTCTGAGTCAGCTCCCTGATCGATGCTTGGGGGTCGGGTTTCGGGATGGTTCGGGGTTTAAACAGTTTTAAGCTTGTTTTGCGATATCCCAAACGTGCGAATCACCGGCAATCCCGTCAAATCACGGGATGGCAGCTTAACCTTACTCTGTCGCTTCTCTGCAAGCCTTAACCCTAACAACAGCGAAACTCCCCCCACATTCGCTTCAGAACTTCAACCGAGACCCTCCAATGGCTTCCCCGCGCCCCAAAACGCCCTGTAGTTCTGTAGTCCTGACATCAACTCTAAAACCCTTAACCCTTAACCCTTAATCCTAAACCCTAAACCGAAAACCGAGGACTAGAGGGCCTTGCGTGTAGACGCGAACTCGGAGGCCAGCTGCTTTCGGATGGCCTCCTGCAGTTGGATCATAAGGTTTGGCTACCAGGCTATTGGTCCCTGCTTGGAGGTTCATGGGTAATGAGTAGGGTTGTAAGTAGCATAACCAGGGCTATACGTATGTATATATACATATATATAGATACATACATAACGTAATGAAAACATTTATAATCCTACGTAGATCTAGCAACCTTCAAGTAGAGGGTGCCGGCATGGCAGTCGAGGGTTTCGGGCTTTTCCTTCTCGCATTCGTCCGATACAAGGAAAAGGATTTAGGGTTCAAACCCTAAACCCGAACCCCTAAACCCTAAACCCTAAACCCTGCCCAGGTGTAGAGTAGCGGGTGAATCACTTAATCATTCTGGGGGAACGCTGGGGCCAGGAATGAGCTTCACATGCTGACACCTATACTTAGACCATGGTGAAGTTAAAAACGCTGCAGTCAGTGAAAATCCCACCCTCAGAGCCCCAAGTTTCACCACACGCTGACACAAAATCGCTCAGATCCTGCAGCCCTAGCGGGCCCTATGGGTTCTAGGGGTACCCTGGAGCCCCTTGAAACAATAACCGACTTGTACACTTTTTGTAAGGTACTCCAGACAGTGAGGGGCGCTGGCCTCTCGATAGTGTGTGCTCGAAGAAGATGCAGCCTTGCACTAGAAGCAGCGTTGCATTTTCTGGCTTTCGGTTATGTTGGGACGTCGGGGCTCAAAGATTCTTGGCCAAATTTCAGAGCACCCTTAAAACCCTTGAAAGTCATCGTTGGGGAGACTACCTAACTTCTTGCTAGGAGCCAGTGAGACTGCGCTACTTCACACTGAGCCAGCTCACTCTGAGTTAGTTCACACCAATCTACTTCATACTGAGCTGGTTGTTCACACTCAGCTTTGGCGCAGCATTTCAGCCTTCAAGCTTGTATCAAAAGGCCGTTTTTGCCTCCGAAGGACACGTCCTAAACTTGAATATACTAGTACAATTTAGCCACCATAGACCCGAAACAGTGAAAGACCACATGGGGACGCGAAGAGCAAAGCATGCACTTCAGGGCTTTACGCGGCCACGAAAGAACGACTATGATGCCGCTGGAGCTCCAAACGTCCTCCGCGTACTACCTTTGTACTACAAATGTCGATTTTCGAGCCACTGGACATCTGGATGTCCTCGGCGTGCTGCGTTTGTACTACAAGAGTAGACTTTCACCACAGCTCCGGATGTCCTAAGAACACCAAAAGCGACGACAGTCTCGCATTTCACGAACCCCGGCGTCCAAAAGCCACGACAGTTTCGCAGCTGGTGAACCCCGATGTCCAAAAGCAACGACTGTTTCGCATTTCGCGGACACAGACATCAAAGAAACGACGACAGGTACGAGGATGGCAGAATCGACGCGCACGGCGACTAGGCGACAGCATGATCTCCAGCATCGCAAATTGCAAGTTCCCGGGAGTCGGCCCGGGAGTCTAGCCGCACGCAGCGAACCCATCCAGCGGCCCAAAACGCAGAGGAATCCAAGCGCCGGTGCCACGTTTTCAGGACGCACTGCCATGCCTCAAAAAGTGTAAGGGGCCGAGGCGGAGAGCACGAGTTCCACCCACTGAAAAACCCACGAAATGCGCACCGGGCCGAGGCCAAAAGCATATAATTTGCGATGCGAAATCCATGCCCAAGCCTGTGCTTTGGAGAAGTTCGCATTTCGTCCAAAATGCGAGGAATCACGTCCGCGTATCGAGCGCACTTCGCGCCATATAACACCCTTTTGCCCTAGATGTGAGAACCCCACGTGTTGACACCACACTGTCTAATGGGGAACTATTTCATAATGTCTGCTGAAAGCGGATTGACGTTTGTTGGTGTCAGGGGAGTGCAGCCAGCCATGTCGTTTGATCTGCTCGCCTCCCGACGCACTCTCCGTAACGGAGGTGAAGCATGCGTTGTTTAGTACCTGACCGGCCGTTGCCTCCTGAACCCGCTCAAGCCCAAACCCCTAAAGCTCCTAAACTTCCTATCGTATCCCCAAACTTCTCAGGCCTGGAGTCCCCAAACACTGAACCCCCGGACACCACAGACTCCAGTAGATGCATGTAGGCCCAGATGGGATGTTTTTGTCTCAACTCTCAGCCTGTGTGTGTGCTCTCCACTACGAGGAGTATTCAATGGATGATCCCTATTTGGGGAACCCAGACGGGATCATCATGCGGAGAAGTAACCATCTGATGTAAGGCTGTGAGGCCTAGGGGAAAAGGCCCAGATGATGGGATACACAACATATACATAGATACATATAAATTCTACATGTAGGTATATAACTGTGGCAAGAATACACCTAGCACCTAGATGAACCATAACCCTAAACACCCTACACACCCTAAGCCCTAACCCTATACTTAGGGGCTGCATAGTAGGATTCTATATAACAAAAAAGTTAAAGGTTACCTACCCAGCTCCTAACCGTAAACCCTAAACCCTATAAACCCTATAAACCCTAAACCCTAATTCCTAAACCCTAAACCCTGCACCGTAAGAGCCCAAGAGAGCCACGCCTTGCGCTTCGCCAGCGCTGCCGCCAAGGCGTCGCAGGTCTCGGGGGCGAGGTCGCCAAGCAAACCTCCCGTTGTGGCTGTCTGGGGTTTAGGGTTTAGGGTTTAGGGTTTAGGGTTGAGGGTTGAGGGTGTAGGGTCCCAAGAGTAGCCTTTTATTCCAAAGGGTGGTCGTTTTTTGGTTTGAAGGGGCTTATTCAGGGAACTTGAGCCCGAAAAAAAGGAAGAAGGGCCTACTCGGGGTCCAGGGTTTCTTGGGGTTAGGTGTTTATGGGGTTTACAGATGGTTGAGGGCTGCTCGACAGTAGGGTCCCTCGTGGGGATATCTTCAGGGTTTATAGGGGGTTGGATGCTTATAGGGGCCCTTACTATCATAAGGAAGTTGCTGTTGTGGGGTTTCGGTGCTTCAATCGAAGCTGGGTGGTTTAGGGTCCTATGGTTTCGGGTGTAGGGCGCAGGGTTGAGGGCCTCTACAATAAAACCCCAAAAACCCAAAAACCATAAATTGCCCTAAATTGCCCTCAGCCCCCTTTGTCAAGTCCGAGAACCTACAGCTATACTCCCCTTAAAACTTCAATAAAATGATATCTTTAATATCCTGTTGGGTTTTATAGAAACAACAAAATATATAACCCTAAACTCTGAACCCTAAACCCTAAACCCTGAACTCTCAAGAATAATTCCCAAGGGGGATATAGACAGCCACGACCGGGTGCTGGCAGGCCGCGGTCGACCTCCTCGGCCGAGCAGCTTTCCAGGCTGTCCTTTCGGGGCTTGTTAGGGGGTTTAGGGGGGTTCAGGGGTCTAGGGGTTTAGGGTTTCGGTTTAACTTGGGATGTTCCCCCTGAAACTAACAGTCCTGAATAGGCCCCTTTAATAGTCCTTTTAATAATCCTGTTGAGGACTGTTAGTATAATGGGGAACATCCCAAGGTTTAACCCTTCGGGGATGTATAGAGTACTGCTTCAAGAAAAACAAGTACCGTCAGACGCGAAACTCACAAAGACCTAAGCTCTTCGGGCGGGAAGCACCTAGGTGTTACCGATGAAGAAATGGGGTTGGAGGAGGCTTGATCTAAACCACGTTGGGGAGGGGTGCGGACTATCTTGGTATATTCCTGAAAGCCGGAAACCCCAAACCCCCAAACCTAAACCCCAAACCCCAAACCTAAACCCTAAACCCTAAACCCTAAACCCTAAACCCTAAACCCTAAACCCTAAACCCTAAAGCAATTTGAGGTTTGAGGCTTCGGGTCGTGAGTCCCAGAAGGCCGATGCGGGGATACGCAGGACCCAACGGCCAAACAGAAACTTCAAAGGTTTGGAGCTAGGGGCCCCGAACCCTGCTTGGAGGTTCATGGGGACTTAGAAACCCCGCTTATAACTGTACTTCTAAGCCCCCTAAGTTACAAGTAGACTTTAAATTGGGGTTAAAGGTACCCGTGAACCTCCAAGTAAAGCCTACAGGAGGGCTTCGAGTTAAGGGTTTGACTTCGCTCCGTCGCTGTGTCCTTGAGTTCCTTCGCCATAGCGCCAGAGCCCATGGCCGACGCAGTTATGCTGTGAAAGGCAGGTGTACTCAGAGGAGGCCGAGAAGCCTAAAAACGCTGAACGCCTAAAGGTCTTGAAAAACCCTCTAAATGCCCCCTGAGTGGAAAGTGGGATATGATTTTGGGGGGCTCTTTGGTGTTTGTCTTGGTGGCCAGGACTTTGGGGTGCTATGTACTCGGGTTGCTGTCAAAGACAACTTGGGAATGGCTATCAACAAGTGCAGAGCACCTTTCGTGGCACCCTTTCGCACCTTCTTCGTTTTGGCTCGCGACATTTGCGGTCAATGGTCCTTAAAACCGGTGGCTGCCGCAACAAAGCAAGGCGCGGTAGACAGGAACGTCTTCAGCAGACACGCGAACGAATGTTGCAAATAAACGCAGGCATAAGAATAGCGGCCGTGAAGAGAGCGCCCAAGGAACGACTTTAAGGGTGAGACGGGGAAAAAACGCCCATACATAGAAACCGTGCCATCATGAGTCTTGCTACGTGACAGGAACTCTCCTGACAAGGAACCCACGCTTGGGACCCAGCGTGACCACCTTTCATACAGTTCATCCGCAAGCTTAGAGACCAGCCCAACCGCAGCACCCACCACACCGTGAGACCCTTGAATCTAACTCTTGATCTCAGAATACTAGCTTCTCCTTCACAGTCTGGGTCTGATTGTATTGGATGACTCACGCTTCCGTTCACCCTCTATCTTGTTATTGTAGCTGCCCCAGAAGCCCAGCTATTATAGGTCAACCACTCATGGTACCTTCCTGTCAGCTCCCTCTCTCATAGCCTTGTTCACCCATCACACCTTGAGACCCTTTTAACGCCTGGTCTGGATATCACTCGTCTTTTCATGAGTCTTACCGCGGGAGCTGGAATTAAATGCATGAGTCTTCTTTCCATCTCCAAGTCTAGGGTCTTTTCCCCATTAGTATTCTAAGCTTTTTTTGCGCCAGCTTATGTAATGTACGCCCGTAATATAACAACAGGGGCAACGAACATACGAAGAACAACCCCAACAGCACAGTTTGACCACGAGTGAAGAAATTGAAGGGGTTTTCTGTCTCTAGCTCCCTAAACCCTAAACCCTAAACCAACACGAGATATTTGATTGAGTCAAAAAAAGTGAGACAAGTGCATCCAGACCAACCTCGAGCTCTTGGTGCGGGCTGTTAAATTCGCCAATTTGTCAGCTGGTGCACGTTCCTAGCTTATTTAAAGGGTTTTTGCGTGCATCTTATAAGTCTGTTACTGCACGCATAACACTCTTATGAATGAGTGCAACCCTAAACCCTAAACCCTAAACCCAAAACCCAAAACCCAAAACCCTAAACCCTAAACCCCCCCTGCCACGATCCAGAACAACAAAAGCCTCTCCCAGCCGCCTGCGCCGACTTCGGCTGCTTCCTCCTCGTCCTCACTGGGATCCTGGGGCTTATTCTGGGTCTCCTTAGGGGTCTCAGTAGAATCAGAATAGGCTTTAGGGCTTGGGAGGTTTAGGGTTTAGGGTTTAGGGTTGAGGGTATAGGGTTTAGGGGGTTTAGGGGCCTAAGCCAAGGTTTCGCTTACGAGGAAAGCCCCGAAACCCGCAATCCTAGGTGAGGTGCCGCTCGTCAGACCCTTTCCCAAGTTAGGTTGCCCAGTAACCTAGGCTTAAAAAGGATGCCCCTTTTTGCCTCGAGGGGTTTGTAAGGGAACCCCCCCCCCCCCCCAAAAGGGAATAAGGGTACTACTGAGCATCCTAGGAGCAGTTTGTGCCTTGACGGCTTGAGGAGACGGGAAGGCCTACGCTGCTTCCTTAGCCCAAGCCTTCCAAACCCTAAACTCCCAAAAAACCTTAAACCCTAAACCCTAAACCCTAAACCCTAAACCCTAAACCCTAAACCCTAAACCCTAAACCCTAAACCCTATGCGGAGCTGCAGTTGGTATTGTAGAAAAGAGTTGGTGTTGAAAGTTGAAGGGTCAATGCACCCGATAATCCTTTTGGCTCAAGGAACTTGGGCATGCGCCCTGAAGAAAGAAGTGTGTGTTGGTTTGGTGTTGGTTGGTCCAGGGGATCAAGGGCTTCTGTTGGGGTTGACTGTTTTGTTCCCTGTCCTCCTTCGGTCGCCCCCCGTAGGTTATGAGCCCAAATTAGGCTTCCTGCGGAATTGGTAAAGATTTTTCGTTTGTTTAACGCCATGGACATGATGCGGCGTCGCTCTGAGCCTGGACTGTCGCCCACGGCCAATGAAGCCGAAGGAAATCGTGGTGATGGGGGTGAAGAACGACAACAAATGGTACAAGCGCTGACAGATGGTAGGGAGGTTGCAATGATACAACCAACGCCTCAGGTGGAAAACGAAGTGGTTCCAGTTCCAGCAGCAAATCCTTTCTGGAGCGAGCGGGCTCAAGAAGAAATGAGACTGAGGCAATCAAGGCCGGCAAGTCTTCCTGCGAGCGGAGGGGATAGAAGTGGTGAAGGTACGAGGAGGCCGCCTTCGCTGCAAGATCTTTTGGGTCAGGAACCTGCACCTGTTGAGAGACCGTCGTCAGGCTTAATGGGTGAGATGGAACGAGGTACTATTGGTGGAGTGCAAGCAGACGAAGAGCTCATTCCTGATGTTGGTGGTGAAGAACAAAGTGAAGATATGGCGGTGGTAAAGCGTGCGCTGAAAGAGTTGCTTGTGCAAACAAAGGAGCTGGGGAACAGGTTGCATCGGGTGGAGGAGAAAAGCTATACCTCTGCTGCATCTGGGTCAGCTTCGAGAGCACGGAGCACTGGAGTGGTGGACGCAAACACTGCATATCCTCTAGGAATGACTCCAGAGAAGCAGTACCTGCCAGGACAAGTTTTCTACACGGATGGTATGGGTGGTTTTTGGACTGTGTTGCCTGATGGGACATGGCTGCCTATTGAGGGCTACGACCTGCCAAAGGGTTGTGATCTTCAATCCTTGCCTGGGTCCAGGAAGGGGGATGCTCAAGTGGAGGATGAAAAAGAAGTGCCAATGATGCATGTAGCTGAAGGGAAGAAACCCTCCAGATTGCCTCCATTGAATTACCCCACGGGAGGTCCTGCAAGTGGTGGATATGCAAGTGGACCACCTGGTTTAACACATGTTCCGATTACTTCCTTGCCATCAGGTGCTGATGGTTCTGCCGCACCTGTGGGGAACCAGCCCGGTTTTGTTTCAGCTCGGGAAACTGCAACGCAAGAGAACTCAGCAGGATCGGGTGGATATACAATGGTGGATGATGTTCCGTATCGGTGGAAAATGGTCGCTGGGAAGTTGGAATTAGAAAAGGTTCCGCTCACAGCTGTTACGCCTGGTATAGGACATGGACTACCTCAAGGGCCTGGTGGTAGGGTCAGTTTACCTCCTGGAGCAGTGGTGCCACGTGGTATGCCAATCATTGGTGATAGTTCTGGAACCGAACGTCCGGAGGCTCTTGGGAAGCATGTGATGAGCCTTCCAACTTTGGCAGACTACACACCAAGCAATCCGACGGCACTGGGTGATTGGATCGCAATGATCGAACCAATGTTGTCTTCGCTGACAGATACAGGAAGAGTGTGGTGGCAATGCGTCTACTCAAAGGCATATCAAGCGTATGCCAAATGGTTGAGTGTTTCTCCGCTGGAAAGGTTGGGCATCAAGGCTGAGCTGGAAGGGCTCAAAGTGGTTCAAACTGTGCATGTTTTGTTGGAGCAGAGAGCGGTGTCTTTGCTGCTACAGGCGATTCCGGAGAGATTGAAGACCGAGATCGTTTCCACTCGAATGTTGGGGTCAGTGATGATATTTTACAAATTGCTGACGGTCTACCAACCAGGTGGAGCAAATGAGCGCAGCACAATGTTGAACTTCTTGGTGCAACCATCTCCAGCAACCTCGATCTCAGAGGCCATAAAGGGAGTGCGTCAATGGGCGCAATGGCGTTCCCGATTAAGGGAGTTGAGAGCGGCCGAGCCGGACGCTACCTTGCTTATCAAGGGATTGGATGGTTTATCATCCGCGTTGCTGGCAAAACACCCTACGGTTCATTTCAGAGTGGCATCCTTTCGGGAGAAATTGGGGGTGGACTACTCGCCGACCTCTGAAACTGCAACAAAACTAGCTGAAATGTTACAGGCAGAGTTTGAACTGCTATTGCATAGTGCTGGTGATCAAGAGGTGAAGCAGGACTCGGACGCCAAGAAAAGGGCAAGGTTAAACAAGGCCCAAAAGGGAACTGGTGACGAGACAGAGGAGGGTGACAAAGGCAAAGGGAAAGGAAAAAGGTACAGCGGAGATGGTGAACGTCCTTTCTGTTGGATATATGGGAAGACAGATGCAGGCTGCAAGTTCGGATCCCGCTGCAAATTTCGCCATGACAAAGACTCCCTTGAGCGAGGAAGATGTTTTGAGTGTGGGGCCGTTGGCCATCTGCAGCCGCAATGTCCATATAAGGATGGTGCAAGTTCCAATGTGGACTCAAATCCTGAGAGAGTAGATCTAAAGGGAATTCTCCCAAAGGGGGAAAGGGCGGCAAAGGTGCGAAATGGGGAAATGCCAAAAAGGCAGAGGTAGCTGAAGGGGGAGATGAGACGGCTAATGCGGGATTGGATAAAGGTTCTGCAAGTCCCTCATCACCATCAACACCCAATCAGGTCCTTGCTGAAGCGTTGGAAGTGCTGAAATCTATGAAGCTGTCATCAGCACAGTCAGCATCAAGCGGGGATCCCAGTGTTCGAATGTTATGTGGCTCTGGGTTGTTTCAGCAGGAAGGGAGAGTGGCGTTGGTGGATACAGCTGCTACGCATCTTGTGCGGACGCTTTTTCCATGGGAATGTTTACCCGACACTACTGTTATGGTGCAAAGCGCGCTTGGTGGTGTGACAATGAGGATTACAGAGAACGGGACGTTGATTAGGGAAGACAATGGGCCCCTGATTATCCCTCTCTGGTTGATTTTGGAGTTTGGGGCGAACCTCGCTGTGATCAATGGGATGTGTCACGTGGG